CGGGGGGGGGGGGGGACGACCATCCCCCACAGCCAATCTCACTCGCCAAAAAGGAGTCACGCCACTTACAGAAGTCCTGCGGCCACTTCCAGCAGCAACGCAGCCGTTTTTGCTGGTGGCCCCGCTTCCCAGCCTGTGCTCACAGGGGGGTACTGGCACTCCTGCCTGCCTGCCACCTGACTGCAGCCTGACAGGGGGGCATCGGCGCTCTTAGGGGGTGCACGTGCACCCTCTATTTGTCACCACTGATGCTGTCACGAACAATGCTACATTTCTGGCTTGGTGCAAAGGCCACTAAAATCAATGGAAAGATTCCCATTGATCTTGATGGATTTTTGATCAGGCTTAGCTTTCACAGTTGTGAACTAGTAGTCAACAGCAGCAGTTACTAGTGAACTGATCCAAAGATGAAGTGATCACCCCATTTTTCAGGAATAAGTAATTATCTTACTCTTCTTTCATTTCAGGAGAAATGCTTGACAAAGATCTCCAGTGGCCTTTTTGCATTTCAAACATATCTGGAATATATACATGTACAAGAAACATTTATTAGTGAAAAACAAAAAATTGAAACCATATGGTATGGCACAAAGCACCTGGCAAACACTGTGAGGCAGATGGTGAGTTATCTATATGTTTACCCATATATAAAACAATCACTTTGTTTTTAAATGAATTATATTTCAATAAGTCAATGTAGGATATATCCTGATCCCACTGGTTTCAGTGGGAATAGTTTGGTACTTCATACTCTCAGAAATTCATCAGGAAGCATATCTAGATTAAGAGGTTTTACGTTTGTCTGTGAAAGTTTAGATAGGAATGATCCTGCCTTGGGGGGCGGGGGTAAGACCAGATAACCATGGAAGATCCTTTCAGTCCTGTTTTTCTACAATTCTAAGCAGTAGGCTTTTCATTCATCTATCTATTGTGATCTGTAATTAGCACACCAGGTTTAGCAAATAAGTATGCTCTATTGTATTCCAAATGAAAAGGAAAAATATCACTTTGGGATGGATGATAAAGAGTCATTTCTTTTATTTTTTACCCTAGTCGTTATAGAATTGGGACTCAATTCTAGTCTTTTCACACTTCAAACTCCTATTGAAGTAAATAAATGCATTCAGAGAAATAATAAAAAAGATATTTAAAACATTGTTAAAAAAACCCCCAAAAAAGCTTTTGAGCAGGACTATATGACACATTCTCAGATCTGTAACTTACTATCAAATGTACAACTAACAAAACTTATTCTGAAATTAAAAAGTTAATAATGTGGCTAAGAAAGAAGTGCCACCTACAGAAAAAAACACTGGCTTTTTGCCAGCAATCAGATTTACTGAAATCATAACATTTTATAAAAGCCTGAATATTTTTGAACATGGTGAATTAAATGCTGTTCATTTCTAATAGCAGTGTTCTGTGATTTGCAATGCATTTAAAGAGCATATTTTAAAAATCTTTCAATTTCTACAATTCTTGTTCATATTAATAGCTCTTCATGTGAATAAATTCTTTATAGGCAGTGAAACAACCTGGGTGAGTAAAAACCACTCAGGTGACCAAAGGGTAGCAGGAGCAAGAATTACAGAAGTCATAAACCATTGTGTCCTACAAAAGGTTATTCAGTGCTTTGAAAAGTCTATTGTACACATAAAGTACTTTTTATGCAACGTTCATTTTCATCATTCCATAAGTGCAAGGGAGCTGAACTGCATTTTTACACTTTGATAGCCTTGAATAATAGACCTGTTATGAAAGATAACAGACTACTGACTTCACATGGGTATATTGCAAAAATTGGCTTGTAGCAGTTGTCTGTTTTGTTTTATAACCAAGTGAGACTAGCCTTCCTGAAAGAAACTAATTGAACAGTAAGAACTCAACATAAGGGGACAAATACACAACTCGAAACCAAAACCTGTGGCTATGGAGACTATCAGAGATGGAGGGGAGTAGAACAAAGTCTTAATTTTTAGTTAGGAAGTAGGGTTTTGTGCCACCCAAATGGCCACCCTGTCTCAGCTGCTACTAAATGTAAGGAGCAGTAGTGGGTACAATCTGTTGCTCATGTGCAACAGCTTGTAGTCAAGTGAATGAATTGGTGAGCATGGCACTCTGTGGTACTCTGAAGATGCACCACCCAGCATCTCTGCAGTATGCATCAGCAAGTTAAAAGAAAAAGTTAAGATGCTCTTTCAGAATCCACCTTTTCAGGGGATCTAAGCAAAAAGAACATGCATTTCTTGTTAAATTAATTAAAGTAATATTGAAAGAGAGATAGTCTAAATGGTATACTTGCTTCTGGTATCTCTCAGATGGTGGTCTAGGACAGGGGTTGCCTAGGACTTCTGGGAGAAAGAAGCAGACTCTTCTGGCTGCTGGTCTTTGTATTTCGTTAGACTCATAGGACTCAAACTAAAATGGAGCCTAACTCATTCTCTCAGAAGTGCAGTAGTTTAGGCACTAAGGTGTCAGGTTTTAAAAATGTATTTGGGTATTTAACACTCATTGAAAGAAATCAGAGTTAGATACCTAAATACCTTCTAAAATCTTCAGTGAAGATACTAAGCCTTGTGCAAAGTCAACAGGATTTCGTATCCCACAGTTTAAGTATCTTTAAAGTGGGAGTTTGACTGCTAAATCACTTATGCATGCTCTAGTGTTTCTCCTTACTATAAAATTTGATTGTGTTTGAACACAGTTGTGAACACTGGGGACTCAAAGTTTAGTGGTCAGGAAATCATACTCAGCGTTACATTGGTAGCAGAAATCATGATAAACAGTCGTCTTGGTCTAAATAGCAGTGTGCATCTGATTCAACTGTGCACAAGTTATATTCAAACACAATTTTGTTTAATATCATAGACAAGACCTTATTATCAGATTCTAAAAAAGATTGCCAGCAAAAGTGGCACTAGATATAAATAAAAACAGGTATGTAGATGTGATGGAGATAAAGGTATTATGGATTACACAGACAATGTCAGAATATCTGATGCCCCAACAGATGCATCAGTGGTCAAGCAGGTACTTTTCTAAGTATGTCCTGCATAAAGGCAGATATTTTCCAAGACCATTTTACAGCACAGTAACCAATATACTTATTTTCTTTTCCATAGATGAAAAATCCTGATGCAGTGCCCATACCAGACCAAACCAGTGAGAAAACACTTCTTGAAAAACTGAAGGCAAATAAAAATTGGAGAGAGAAAATTGCCACTCATTTCATCCTCAGAGATTTTACTTCATTTATGGAGAAAACAGTGAGGGCTCTTCGATACATAAGAAAAACCAGGAGTTCAAGTGCTTGAATGTTTTAATTCAGGCACCTTCCTTTTCACAAAATCTGTCATGTGGCAGATGACAGTGTTGTTCTATTTTAAGAACCAAAGCTCTAATAATAAGCGTTTCCATTTATAAATTGTAAAATCACTAGGATTTCTTTTGGGGAATATATTTATTATATTTAAAATATTTATTCATTTATAATAATGCTTATTTATATTTCCAATATTTACAGAAAATTTAAACAGAGTATCTATTTTATTTGTTTCTACTGACATTATTTGCAATATCAGTTGTCACTTCCTATATAGCCAACAAAAATACACTTGAAAGGGCTGTTATCTAGAAAAAAACTGAATGTATAACTTATTTTCTTCATGTCTGAAATTTTGTATTTAAATCTATTTATATTTTTTTAAAACAAAATGTAACTCTTTTAAAAGAAGTTTTTGGCATTTAATAAAGGTATGAAAATTCTCAAATATCCAAGTTTCTATCTCTACACCTATTTATATGGCAGTTCATCATCATTCAACAGCCACTCTGGAAGTATTTGATTGTTGCTTATTTTTGGAGCGAGGCGATATGAAGGTTTGTTAGTTTTGTAGAACTAGATAAAAGCATAAAAAACTAGCAAACTTGCCAGAGAAAAGTGTGGAAAAATCTTAACAGAAATATGACAATTATGCTGGAAATGTGGAAACTGTGAAACATCTTAACAGCAGTTATAAAAGCAATTATGACAATTTGCCCCAAACAATACAAAGAAAAAAAATCCTACTCCCAGCAAGCAATAATAATTCACAATTTATACCACTACTTCCAGTGGAAACAGGAATCTTAATTTTTGAGTGGGTAAGGCTAACGTATTGCAGAACATCAGACTTGATGCATAAATTCCTTTCCTGAAGTCCTACATAAGACCATCTACTAACCAGCAGGGCCAGCCTACACTTAAAACGCAGCAAGGAACAGGAAAGTGAACAGAACTCCACTATAAATGCATATGCTTCATGCACCCAAGCTTGAAGAACATCTGGGCAGCAGTACACATATAGCATGTGTGTATTCTGACTCTGTATGCTGTGCATCTAGGGCAGAGCTGTCCAAGATCTGAGTGGCTGGGGACCACAGGCCACCCCAGCCATACACCATGCGGGCCACACACTCCTGGGCTACATGCCACGCTGCACCACAGAACCCCTTCACATGGGCCCCTGACATCTGAACCCTACACACTGCACAGGCCACTAACAGGTTGTACAAGACCCCAACACTGAATGAATTCTTGATGTGCCATGAAAGCCCACCCAGGTACATAGCCCCTCCTCCCCCCAGCCCAGGCACCCAATGCAGTGGGAGAACTCCAACATCACATGGGCTCCTGATAGATGCGCTGCAGCATGCAGGCCCCTTGTGCATACAGATATAATGCACTGCAACACAGTGCAACTTGTGCCCCTCCACTGCAGGGTGGGCAACTCCTGCTGCTCTGCACTGGAATGGATACCACATGGGGTCCCCAGGTGCCCCGAGACCTCCAACCACAGTCTTCCTTGGTCTTATGGGCCATGCTGCTCTGCCCTGCCCCCAGGAACTAGGGTACACAGCAGAAGCTGGAAGAGGGAGTGGGAGTCCGGAGACTGGTAACAGCAGCAAGAAAGCAAAGTTGGGGCCAGTGCCCAGACAAGGAGCCTGGCACCTGTAGTTTAACCACCAGTTGGACAGCACTGATCCCGGGCATAAAGGGCAGAGTGCACCTACCACACCTCAGCTTCCTCACAGATATACATGGCACTTCAAAAGTAGGGAACAGAGGAAGATATGTTATAGAAAATGCATGGAGGGAACAGAGGAGGATATGTTATAGAAAACCCCCACAACTGCTGGTACTGCAAGGACTTCTAGGTCTCTTTCTTCGTTCATACTTACATTTAGTATGAGTGACTCTCCCAAAGTAGTGAACAGTCCATTCAGAGCTGGAACCTGAGCCTCCAGAGAAAAGGGATTGAAGTATTGTTTTTGGAGGCTTAAAAAATTGCATAACGTTTCATGAATGAGTGAATAGTACTTGAAAGTAGCTTTTTATAGCTACTTAGGATAGATGTATTTTCCAGTAACATGGTGAATGTTGTTTAAGATATGGTAAGTGCACTTTAATAGTTGTAGAAGGATCTACAATGATTGAGAACCTCTGGGTAAAGGTCAAAGGGGAGAATAGCAAAGGAATTGTGGGCATGGGCCAGAGACTACCAAACCAGCAGAAAGAGGTGAATGAGGCCTTCTTTAAACTGATAGAAGTTCCAAACTGCAGATTCTCAAGGGGAATTTTAATTACCATTAAAGGGAAACACAGCAGTGCAAAAACAGTCCAGCAAATTCTTGGAGTGTGTTACATGTAATGGAAAGTTCAATTAGGGAGGGAAGCTCTTCTTGACTTGCTGCTCACAAACGTGGAGGAATTGATTGAGAATGTGAATATGGAAGGTAACTCCGGTGACAGTGACCACGAAGTGATACAGTTCAAGATCTTAAGGGGAAGAATGAAGGAGAGCACAGAATAGAGACTGGACTTCAAAAAAGCAGACCAACTCAGGGAACTGGGCCTTGAGAAGCAAGGCTGAAGGCAAAAAGTGTCCAGGTAAGCAAGGTGTGTTTTAAGGGGGCCATTTTAAGAGAACAGGAGCAAGATATCCTGATGCGATGAGAAAATGGGAAATGCAACAGAAGACCAGCCTGGGTAGAGAGTAGTATTTTCAATGGGTTGTAACTCAGGAATCCTACGACAAGTGGAGAGTATAAGAGTATTGCTCAGGTATGCAGAGAGAAAAATAGAAAGACCAAGTCATGATTTGAGATGCAACTGGCAAAACACATAAAAGAAAATAAAAATGTCAGAAATAAGAAGACGACCAAAAAAAAACCATAAGTCTCCTGAACAATTCAAAAGGCAACCCAGTCATGGACAATGCAGTATTTAAGGCTGAAGTATTTAATGCCTTTACTTCAGTCTTCACAAGAGGAGCAGCTACCAGATGATGTGTGCAGTAGTAAAAGAACATGGTATGGATTACTTAGACAAGCAAGAGGCTTTCAGGTTTGTAGGGCCAAATGAGATGCAACTTAGAGTACTGAAGGAATTGGTTGACATAATTTCAGAGCCATTGGCTCTTTCAGAACCAGTAGAGTTCAGGTGAAGTCCTGGATCATTGGAAATTGGCAAATACAGTGCTCATCTTTAAGAAAGTGAAGAAGGAAATTGTAGACTGGTCAGTTTGACCTCAATACTTGGAAAGATCCTGGAGGAGGTCCTCAAAGAATCTACTGTAAAGCACCTAAAGAAGAGAACAAGGTGATCAGGAACAGGCAGTATGGATTCACCAACAGCAAGGCATGCCTGACCAATTCGATTTCCTTCTATAAGGTGGCAGGCCATGTAGAGGAGGAAGAGCAGTGGATATGACATACCTTGATTTTAGCAAGGTCTTTGATACCATCTCCCATGACATTCTTGTTAACAAGCTAAGGAAATATAGACTAGATTAATAAGGTGGACAGAAAACTGGTTGGATCATGATGTTCCATGAGTAGTTATCAATGGCTTAATGTCTAGTTAGGAAGAGGTATCAAGTGGGGTTCTCTAGAGGTCTGTCCTGGGTCCATTATTGCTTAACATCTTGTTTAAAGTTTATGATGATAGGACTGAATGTTTAGTGAACCTGTGGATGACACCAAGTTGAGTTGTTGCAGACACTCTGGCGAGCAGGGATGGATCCAGAATGGCCTGGATAAACTAGAGAAATGGTTTGAAATCAAATTAAATTCACCAAGGACAAGTGCAAAGTCCTGCACTTAGGACAGAATTGTTTAAGTGCAGACTGGGGAATTACTGGCTAGGCTGCAGTACTGAAGAGAGGGATCTGGGGGTTACAATGGAACATAAGCTGAATGTGAGACAACAATGCGATCTTGTTTCAAAAAAAGGGAAAAGCATACTGGGTTGTATTAAAAGGAATATCACTTGTAAATCAAGGAAAATGATTCTTCTGTTCTATTCAGCACTGGCAAGGCCTCACCTGGAGTACTCTTCCAGTGTTGGGTCCCACACTTCTAGAAGAATGTGAACAGATTTGGAAAGGAACCTTGCAGCAAAAAAGTTTTAAATTGAAGATTAGGAAGAACTTTCTGACTGTGAGGATAACCGAGGACTGGAACAGATGACCTATTTGTGGAATCTTGATCCCTGAAATTTTCAACAGCAGGTCAGAGAGACACTTGACTGGGCTGGTTTAACCAGGGATGATCCTGCCTTGAGCAGACAGCTGGACTAGGCATCTCATGAGGTGCCTTCCAGCCCTACTTTCTGATAATTTAATCTGGCTATCTGGAGAACACTTATTCTTTCTGCTATGGCCACACATAAGAGTGATCTACATGATTTTGTAATGTGTAAGTAAAAAAACAAAATCCAGGGGTAATCTTATATCCATGGTGTGGAGATAGATACTTCTGTCCTAGAGACATGAGATTGTAGAAGTTGGGAAGGTGAATCTGTTATTTCAGATGGAACTCAGTGACAATTTGTGGCAGAAATTTAGGGTGGATTTTTAGAAAGACACCTTATTGGGATGGAAAACTCTAAGAAGGGTCTTGAACCTTCTCTACTATTCTTGCTGAGGCAACAGCTATCAAAGTAAGGCACCATGTGGCACCGTGAAGAGTAACTCAGCCCTGTCCCAGGTGAGTTTATCTCATGACACTGCTGCTGTGATCAAAATGTCATGAACCAACAAAGAAGAGATCTGCCAATACATGACAGCCATCCAGCATTCAAGCCCGGATGGCTAATATCGCCATTCTGAGACCAAAAAAAAAAAATCTGAAAAGAGGTAGGGCTTTGGATTAGAGGGATGGGAAATCTAGAGCACCCCAAAACAGAACTCTCAGCCACACTGGGACTAGTCGAGATCAGTGGGCTGAGTTTTGTCCGATTTTTTAAAGTTCTCTGGGGATCTAAGGGGTTCTCCATGCACTGAACATGGATCCTATGCGCAGGCTTCTCTGGAACAGAAAATGTAGCACTCCTTGTTCTTTGCATTGAACAAGTCCTCCTGGAGGCATCCCCAGTATAAGAAGATGACTTGGTAAAACAGAATCTTTGATCCCTCCACTCATGAGACATGTCTACCTAAACTAGCCAGCCTGCAGAACAGCTTGGCAGATAAGTGCATCAATTGCAGCTTGATCATCCCTTCTACCAGAAGAAAGACCTTGTTTGTTGTAAAATGCAGCAGCTGTATTATCCATAATTATCTGTACTAATCACCATGCAGCAAGGACTCACAAACTGCAGGCTGACCTGAGATCCAATGGGTTGTTTGCTTCCCTAATTCCCACTAATTAAGAGGGAAATCCACATATGTCCTCTATTCCTAGTAACTAACCAAACTTCACTGCAGTACCGGGTCATAGAGAAACAAAGGGAATTTATCCAGAAGGTATTTGCAGGGTCCTTCCATAATTTCAAGTATGGCATTATTACCAGGGGCACAATTAAAGGTATGCAAAAGGTGTCTGGCTAGGGTGTACATGATCTTAACCAGCATTGTATGCAAGGTCAAATGACCCAACAACACATAACAAGCTTTTGCTTGTGAAGTTTGGAATCTAGTTATGCTATCAGGTCAGTCAGGTTCTGGAACCTGTCCTGAAGCAAGAAGGGCACGGCCATTGGGGAATTCAGGTTAAAGGCAAATTACTTTTGTGTCTTTGAACTGGAGTGAGGTTGTTTTAGGTTTCTTACTTTCAGGCATGAGGTCCAAATCAGATGGACTATAAAATTAGTTTTCTGACCAATGCTGATAGTTTCACAGCATCAAGGGAAGAACTATTGGAGAACCTGATGTCAAAGATGGTGCAGACTGTGGTACTATCACAGCCAAAGGGAGAGGAATAGCAGTTTCCTGTTAAATATACAAGCCACTTATTTTTGAGCCTAATTCAGTGCCACTGGTTAGTTCATGGCTTGCAAGTGAGGCCTGACTTGAAGCTGTTTCAGAAGCTGAAGGCATCAAGCTGGGGGATGACGAAAGGACTTCCTACATTTCTTGGAATGTCTGTCTCTTGGTTTGACCCCTCAGTGTTAGGTCCTTGGCACCATAGTGAACACGAGGGTTGAAGTGAGCCTCTCATGGCCATGACGTTTTGATAAGTAAAGATCTGCCTCTGGAACTCTCCCTTGCCTGTGACCTCATTCAATGAGTTTTTCTTGCCCATTTTTGATGG